AGAAAGAAACTCAACAAAGACACAGAAGAACTAAATAATATAATCAACCAACTTAATCTCATAGACATATATAGAATCCCCAATCCAACAACAGCACAATATATATTCTTTTCTAGTGCACATGGAACATTCTCCAGACTAAACCATATGTTAGGCCACAAAGCAAGTCTCAAAAAATTTTAAAACATTGAAATACTACAAAGCATCTTCTCAGATCACAATGCTATAAAGTTAGGGATAGGAAGGTAAAGGGGAAAACAAACAAATACATGTAATTTGAATAACACCCTGCTTAAAAGCTGGGTAACAGAACAAATAAAAACTGAACTTAAAAAAAATCTTTGAATCTAACAAGAACAAAACCATAGCATACCAAAACCTTGGGGACACAGCAAAAGCAGTGCTCAAAGGGCAACTTATAGTGATAAATGCACACACCCAAAAAGGAGAAAGAATTAAAATCAACACCTTAACATTTTCAACAATTAGTAATAGCAGAGCAAAGTAAACCCACTGCTACCAGAAGAAATAAAATAATAAAGATTAGAGCAAAAACAAACAAAACAAAAAATAGAAAACAGAATCAACAAAACGAGAAGTTGGTTATTTGAAAGGATTAATAAAATTGATTAATAAATTGATTAATAAATCTATCCAAAGAAAAGAAGGAGAAGAGGCGAATAATACGAATAAAGAATGATATGGGTGATGTCACAACAGAACCCATGGAAATAGAAAGAATAATAACAGAATATTATGAAGTACTATACTCCAAAAATGTGAAAATCTAGAAGAAATGGACAAATTCCTTGAAATACATGATCTACCCAAACTAACACAAACTGAAGTAGAAAACTTGAATATTTTTAACATATTAAAAAAAAGAAGAAATTAATCAGGTCATTAAAAAACTCCTAACAAAAAATTAGTCCTGGCCCAGATGACTTTACTGGCAAATGCTACCAAACACTCAGAGAAGAGCTGACATCGATTCTACTTCAAATTGTTCCAGAACACAGGAAAGGATGGAAAACTCCCAAATACGTTTTATGAAGTGAGGATAATCCTCATACTAAAACCAGGCAAATACATCACTAAAAAAGAAAATTATAGACCAATAGCCCTCATGAACATAGAAGCAAAGATTCTCAATAAAATTCTAGCCAATAGGATTCAGCAACATATATATATATATGTTGCTGAATCCTATTGTTATATATATATATAGCTCTGGTAGCGTAGTGGTTACGAATTGGGCTGCGAACTGCAAGATCAGCAGTTCGAAACTACCAGCTGTTCCGCTGGAGAAAGATAAGGCTTTCTGCTCCTGTAAAGATTTACAGCCTTGGAAACCCTGTACAGGGTTGCTATGAGTCGGAACTGACTCCATGGCACATAAAAACAACAATATATATATATAAAATAATCATGACCATCATGGCCAGATGGGATTCATACCAGGTATAGTAAGGATGATTCAATGGTAGAAAAACAATCAAAGTAATCCACCCATAATAAAGCAAAGGAAAATAACCACATGATCATATAGATTTATGCAGAAAAAGCATTTGAGAAAATCCAACACCCATTCCTGATTGAAAAAAAAAAAAAAACTCAGGAATAAAAGGGAAATTCCTCAACATAAGAGCATATATACAAAACCAACAGTCAACATTACTCTCAACAGAAAAAAAGTGAAAGCATCTCCTTGAAAACAGGAACTGGACAAGAATGCTC